GATAGGGGATGATTGATTAGGTTCGATAATAATTGCTAGTTCTTGATTGTTCATATCAAGGAAATAAATAGCTCGCTAAAGTTGCCGCTATTTGAGAAATAGCTTTTTTTGGCAGCGTGCCGCTATTTGCATTCATGTGCAATTTAGCCGCTAAATCCCGCTAAATCTCCGCTATAGCTACAGTGTCATAAACATTTTAGCCCGCTATTTAAAACCTTGGTTCATATCTATTCAAGTTATGCTTATTCTAGGGTTAATAGATTGATCACCTGTTTAACCTAACTAATCAACGTGTGGAACCGTGAGGGGAGACGTTGATCGATATAGGCTTGTTTAGAGTAGACTTGTTCGTAGCTGTATTGTCTATGCGTTGCGGGAACTGATAGTTAATCGTTTACATCCACTCTCTTGTTCGTAACTGTATTGAGAGTGATCCTCTGAACGAGAAGCAATTCAGGTCCTTAAACCGAGCAGTTGATTGCCGGTAGCTGTGGTAGAACCGAAGCAATTATCCCCGATTCCCTAGCTCTTTAATCATTGCGTGAATATCTCTGCTATTTTAATTGCTTTTCATTAGCTCAGTTTCTTAGTTGATAATCAAAACCAAACCAATTCGAATAGAGTGTTTAGGAATTTTTCTTCTCTTTTTCGTGATTGAATAATCGTGCAATTGAATCCGGCTAACCTTCCTTGCGATACGACCCGGTGTTGAATCTTTTGATTCTACTCCGGTAAAAATACTTACAACAGTGGCATGCACTCATTGGTGATGAATTTTTTAAATATATTAGGGCGTCCCCAACGGCGTGAAATTGCTGTCGAAATCGCTAGCTGATTAGGATCGGAAACAGGTTCGGACTGACGTGGCTGCATGTTCCCAAGAAAAATGAAATCGCTGGGCGACTTACTCGTCACTAGCGCGAAGCCAGCCAAACTGCATATATGCAGTTATTTTATTCCAACAGCCAATCCAATGCATGCATTAGAGAAGAAAGGTACCATTAATTAATTCAAACATGTGGACCTACCTATCAACTTCTCCACGTCAGCTGGCGATTTCGACAGCACCGTTGGGGACGCCCTTAACATTGAGTGTATGCCACCTACACGATGGCCATATTAACATGTGCCCACCGTGGATAGGGGAGCATTTCTACTCATATAAATATGTACAGAATTTTTTAATCGAAAAATGAAAAAAAAAAAATCAGTCTATTGTTAAACGGTTCAAGTACTTGGATAGGTTCTAAATTAGCTTTTTGTAGATAAGTTGGGTCGATTGGTGTACCCAATAAACCGTGTCTGATGGGCTCTTATGCAAGTATGCGCGTGGAGTCACAGTCTTATGCTAGCATGAAATAAGTCAAGATAGAATAATAGAACTACTTTGATATAATTTTTTGACATAAATGATGATGAAAGAATTATGTGTATGTTTAACGGAAAATACTACGGTCCCGTAACGAAATTATTCTGTTGAGGTTTGTAATTGTGTATGTAATCATCGAAAATAGTTGATCTAATGGTCACAAATCTCGACGGAACAATTTGGTAACGAGACCTTATGTTGATTTTAAAAATAACGGAATGTATGAAAGTAATAAAATCGTAACACGTATTACTATTTCAAATTTCATGTCATCTTTATCTTTATACAAGATTGTGACACG